TCCTGCCAACCACTGTTATTCTGGAAAAATACATTGGCTTCTAAAAAATATAGAGAAAGGGCCAGATTGGCAAAAGAGCATCCTTTCCTTTTGGCCTCAGCGGGATCATTCGTGGGGCAAACGGTACTCCGGTGCAGAGGTGTTTGCAGAACCAGTGATGGGCTGTGTGGTTCTCACCGCTGTGACTTCCATGACAAGAATGAGACATTTCAGGTTTTGTCAGGCAAAGTCTTGGTCTTGTCTTCCCAACCAGCCTGCTACTGACATCCCCTCCTCTGTGAATTTCTACTCATCTGTCCAGTATTAAAAGCAACTCACGTGACTCAGTACGTGCAGGTGCCAGCCCTAATGCTTCACTGTCATTTCTGTGACTGTTTTGAATCCCTGGAAAGTGAGCTTGTGCAGAGTGCTTGTTTTGTACTTTTTGATCTATGTCCGGTGGAAATAAATGGTTAGTGGATTGGTTCTGGAAAAACCTTTAGCTGTGTCCATGCCAGGGACCAGGACTCTTGAAGTTATGTTCACCTTGGAATTGACATGATTACAAATAAAAGATGCCAATGTGGGTATTTTAGTAGCTTGAGGACATATGGTTTTCTGCCTGATCGGTGCAGAGTAACAATGCAACTCATCCCCGTTTAATCTTAATACAATGGAAGCCATATTGTGCCCTCACATTTGGGCCCAGTGATGCAGGAGGTTCCTAGGGCTTAAACTCCTCTTCTGGCCAAATCCGGCATCCCCTCCAGAGGCAAAACTCTCCCTGAGGTGGGAGTTTGGCCTGTGCAAAGACTGAAGGATCAGCCCCTGGTTGTTTAGTTGTTGTCCGTATTAAAGGATACGGTCATCGAGAAAAGAGAGACACAACCCCCCATTGAAAAGCTGTGACAAAAACCCAGCCCAAACTCTTCCTTCTGCAGCCCTGGGCAGCCACAAGGTGGGGACCGCCACCTGGGCTTTCCAGAGTGCTCCGCCATTTACGCTTGCAGCTTAGCTGGTTTAAGACGAAGGGTGCCGTGGCCGTTGATTAGCTGTGTCGAAGGCAGCATCCTCCAGCAGATTCAAAGTGGACCAAGACAGGAAGAGCGGCTCCCTTAGTCACTCTGGGAAATGAATAGCTTCACCTCCCATAGCCCCATATTTTGCTGCCTTGGCATGAGTTTTTTAACTGTGACCCCTGAAAATGGAGGTTGATGATGCATAGGCTAATGGGCTTCAGACTAGGGCTGTCGATTAATCGCCGTTAACTCACACGATTAACTCAAAAAATTAATCGCGATTAAAAAAATTAAGCGCGATTAATCGCAGTTTTAATCGCACTGTTAAACAACAGAATACTAATTGACACTTATTAAATATTTTGGATTTTTTTCTACATTTTCATATATATGGTATTCTGTGTTGTAATTGAACTCAAAGTGTATATTATTTTTGATTACAAATATTTGCACTGTAAAAATGATAAAAGAAATAGTATTTTTCAATTCACTTCATACAAGTACTGTAGTGCAATCTCTTTGTCGTGAAAGTATAACTTACAAATGTAGATTTTTTTTTTGTTACATAACTGCACTCAAAACCAAAACTATGTAAAACTTCAGACCCTACAAGTCCACTCAGTCCTACTTCTTGTTCAGCCAATCGGTAAGATAAACAAGTTTGTTTACATTTACAGGAGGTAATGCTGCCGTCATCTTATTTACAATGTCACCTGAAAGTGAGAACAGGCATTTGCCTGGCACGTTTGTAGCTGGCATTCATAGAATCATAGAAGATTAGGGTTGGAAGAGACCTCAGGAGGTCATCTAGTCCTACCCCTTGCTCACAGCAGGACCAACCTCAACTAAATCATCCCAACCAGATCTTTGTCAAACCGGCCCTTAAAAACCTCTAAAGATGGAGATTCCACCAACTCCCTAGGTAACCCACTCCAGTGCTTCACCACCCTCTTAGTGAAATAGTTTTTCCTAATATCCATCCTAGACCTCCCCCACTGCAACTTGAGACCATTGCTCCTTGCTCTGTCATCTGCCACCACTGAGAACAGCGTATCTACCATGTCCACCGTATCTACCACGCCTCCCAGTTTAGTGTCATCTGCAAACTTGCTGAGGGTGCAATCCACGCCATCCTCCAGATCATTAATGAAGATATTGAACAAAACCGGCCCCAGGACTGATTCTTGGGGCACTCCGCTTGAAACCGGCTGCCAACTAGAAATGGAGCCATTGATCACTACCTGTTGAGCCCGACAATCTAGCCAGCTTTCTATCCACCTTACAGTCCATTCATCCAGCCCACACTTCTTTAACTTGCTGGCAAGAATACTGTGGGAGACTGTATCAAAAGCTTTGCTAAAGTCAAGGTATATCATGTCCACTGCTTTCCCCATATCAACAGAACCAGTTGTCTTATAAAAGGCAATCAGGTTGGTCAGGCTCCAGGGCCTCTCTCCAGCCTCACATTTCCTGTGCTCATGTCAATTACAAGTAAAACTCTCGCACCGTTGTGGGCACTGTTGCAGCCCCTCGGTGCCATCTGCCAGGCTGGGCTTTCAATAGGGAAAGATGCTGGCAGCCGATCGTGAGCACTTCCGACCACAGATTGCTGGTTTGTACATCTGACCAAATGTTCAGCATAAATCCCACCATTAGGTTTGGAATGAGAAATAAATGAGCTTTGCAGGGTTTTGTTTCACTCGCCTCATAATACTTCAAACCTTGTAGGGTAAAGACCCAGCAACTGGACACAGCTAATAGGACTGAGCTCCGCTGTAGTGCTTTTCATTCACAGATCTCAAAGAGCTTTGCAAAGGAAGATACATTTCATTAGCCCTATTTTAAAGGGGAGGAAACTGAAAGCCACTTTGCACAAGGTCCTACAGCAGAGCTGGGGATAGAGCCCAGGACTTCTAGCCCAGCGTCCTAACCTGTGGCCCACGCACCTGGATTTTACTTTGTATGCTCCACGGGATGAGTCTCTTTTCATGTTCCTAGAATCCCTAGCGGCTCCCCGCTTCCCATTGCTAGCACCTTCGAATACCAGAGGCGAAGAGGAAACACACTCCTAGCACATTGCAATAGTGCTTCTGCTAGAAATCTGTCACAGATTCAAGCTCCCACTCCTTGCTATTACTAATGCACTGGTACTTCTGCAGCACCTGCTGTCCATGGCTTTCAACATGCTTTATAAATGTTACCGTTACAGGGCAAATCCCGGACCCCAGCTTCAGTGGTTTGGCTGTTGTTTGGGAACCACCAGGAGAAGGAACCCTAAGACCAGCAGGGATGTGTCAATCAGCTGCTATTGGGATCCAGAGGAAGACAGGCTGGCTCTGGCTGATCTGTTCAGGGCTCAGGCAGAATAAGCCTTCATTCAGTAGTGTCTGAGGGTGGGTGGGCGCAGAGCCGCATTGAGGCATATTTGCGCCCCCTAGAGGTGACGCCTGGGGAACATACAGAGTCATGTGCACACACACCCCGCCCCGCCCCGACCAGATTTCTGCCTTCCATTTAGCACAGAGGTTGGGCACACGCCACAATTTGAAAATCGCT